ATACAAAAATTAGCCGGGCAGGGTGGTGTTCGCCTGTAATCCCAGCTACTCAGGAGGCTGAGGCAGGAGAATTGCTTAAATCCAGGGGCAGAGGTTGCAGTGAGCTGAGATTGCGCCATTGCATTCCAGCCTGGAAGACAGAGCAAGACTCTCGAAAAAAAAGAAAAAATGAAATGGCCAAAATGCTCAGTTAGCCTGCCCTACCCATCCTAAGTTCAATCCTTCAATCCTGGAAAGCCAGTGCATACAATCCCCACCATTTTCACCTCCCTCACAGCTCCACAGTGCTCCACAGCCACCAAGGAACTGTAACTATACCTGTTCAAAAATTTAAAAACATAAAAATACATGAAAAGCAAAAAAAAAAAAAAAGTTAAAAACAAAATCTAAAATGGTGAATATGAGTGTGTTACCTGAGTGGGTGAAGGATATGAACAGACGCTTTTCAAAAGAGAACATTTATGAGGCTAACAAACATATGAAAAAATGCTCATCATCACTGGTCATTAGAGAAATGCAAATCAAAACTACCTTGAGATACCATCTCATGCCAGTTAGAATGGTGGTCATTAAAAAATCTGGAGACAACAGATGCTGGAGAGGATGTGGAGAAATAGGAAAACTTTTACATTGTTGGTGGGAGTGTAAATTAGTTCAATCATTGTGGAAGACAATGTGGCGATTCCTCCAGGACCTAGAAATAGAAATTCCATTTGACCCAGCAATCCCACTATTGGGTATATACCCAAAGAACTATATATCATTCTGCTATAAAGACACATGCACACGTATGTTCATTGCAGCTCTGTTTACAACAGCAAAGACCTGGAACCAACCCAAATGCTCATCAATGATAGACTGGACAGGGAAAATGTGGCACATATACACCATGAAATACTACGCAGCCACAAAAAACAATGAGTTGGTGTCCTTTGTAGGGACTTGGATGAATCTGGAAATCATCATTCTCAGCAAACTGACTCAAGGACAGAAAGCCAAGCACCACATGTTCTCACTCATAGGTGGGTGCTGAACAACGAGAACACGTGGACTCAGGTAGAGGAGTATCACACACAGGGGACAGTTGGTGGGAGTGGGGGAGAGACAATGGGGGTGGGGAGGGATAACATGGGGAGAAGTGCCAGATATAGTATGCACCTAAAGTAAAATAAATAAATTTTAAAAAAATACTCCCTATTTTAGAATGACACCCGTTGACACCATGTTGTAAGGTGAACATTTCCAGCCTCATCCAGACAGAATGGACCAAGACCAGGCTTGTGCCTTTGTTGGCCAGCTTGGTTAATGAGATGAGATTAGACATGCTGCTTCTTCAGCTCTTCACCAGACTCAGACTCTGACCAATGAAAATGGTCTTAATTACAATTTTCTTTCTATTCATTGTTTCTTGGGTTCCTACCTATGCTGATTTTCATAGTCTTGAAAAGTGTGTATTTTTTTTTTCAAAATGCTTCTTAAATTTCCAACTTTTACTTCAAGTTCAGGGGTACATGTGCAGGATGTGCAGGTTTGTTACATAGGTAAACATGTGCCCAAGTGGTGTGCTGCACAGATCAACCCATCACCCAGGTATTAAGCCAGCATCCATTAGCTATTCTTCCTGATGCTCTTCCTCCCCACCCCCTGCACCCCCCAGGAGAGCACAGAGTTTGTTGTTTCCCTGCTACGTGTTCATGTGTTCTCATCATTTAGCTCCCACTTATAAGTGAGAATACATGGTATTTGGTTTTCTGTTCCTGTGTTAGTTTGCTAAGGATAATGGCCTCCAGCTCCATCCATGTTCCTACAAAAAACATGATCTCATTTCTTTTTATGGCTGTATAGTATTCCGTGGTGTATATGTACCACATTTTCTTTATCCAGTCTATCACTGAAGGGCATTTGGGCTGATTCCATGTCTTCACTATTGTTAACAGTGCTGCAATGAATATATGCAGGTATGTATTTTTTAATATAACAATTTATGTTCCTTTGGGTATAATAGTCAATAATAGGATTGCTTGGTCAAATGACATTTCTGCCTCTAGATCTTTGAGGAATCATCACACTGTCTTCCACAATGGTTGAACTAATTTACACTCAAAGCATTCCTTTTGCACCAACCCTCGCCAGCATCTGTTGTTTTTTGACTTCTTAATAATAGGCATTCTGACTGGTGTGAGATGCTACCTCATTCTGGTTTTGGTTTATATTTCTCTAGCGATCAGTGATGCTGAGCTTTTTTTCATGTTTGTTGGCCGCAGGTATGTATGTCTTCTTTTGAGAAGCGTTTAATCATGTCCTTTGCCCAAAAGTGTATATTTTTGTACTTCTCTATTTGTACAAGTACAAAAGTGTCACTTTGTACGCTTCTATTTGGACAATTTAATATGTGCCGGTGCAACATGCAACATTTACAACCCCACTGTACAACCTGACACCATTGCCCATAATAATATGTCAACAGGGTAGGCTGACAGCCCATATTTTATGCTTTCCATTTTAAATTCTTTTTTTAACCAAAGAACCAACTTTATTCTGCCTTATTTGTGGGTAAGACTACCTTAAGTTTTAAAACAAACCAAAGACGAGATGTTTTCTACAGATTATCAGCTCTCCAGGAGAACAGTCAAACTTATAATTGCTAAAAATCATGAAATGAAAAGGAAGCTCCACAAAAGGGAAGAGGGAAAGTGTGGGAATTAGACGTGGGGATTTCTATTCCCTATGACTTTGGAAACTGTGGTGACTGAGAGCTGTGATTGAGCTCTATAATATGCCAATGTAAACTTCGAAAGATCTGGGAAAGAATAAATTTCTCTGGTGTGGTGGCTTACACCTGTAATCTGAGCACTTTGGGAGGCTGAGGTGGGCAGATTGCTTGAGCTCAGTAATTGGAGAGTTCAGGAGTTTGAGACCAGCCTGGGTAACAAAGCACAACCCCATCTCTACAAAAAATACAAAAATTAGCTGAGTGTGGTGGCACATGCCTCTAGTCCTAGCTACTTGGGAGGCTGAGGTGGGAGGATTGCTTAAGCCTGGGAGGTGGAGGCTGCAGTGAGCCGGGGCCACTGCACTCCAGCCTGGGCAACAGAGTGAGACTCTGTCTCAAAGTAATAATAATAATTAATAAATCCCTTCAATCTATTCAGTTTCTTTTCCTTCAAGACAAAAATTTTTCACACAAATCAATTCGTTTGCTAACTTCACTCAGGGTTTGCTCTAAATCGTAATGCAATCGACAGATTAGTTGCCTAAGGGAAATGACCTTCTTCTGCATGGTCTAGGCTTGTTTTAAATCCTCTACCATCACTGGGCTTGGGCTTGCAATCCTCAAAACTTTTAGGAAATCTGAAAATTAAGTTACAGATTAAATCATAGGTCTCCAAGCCTGGATTGATACATTAATCCCAGGTTTCTTCCTTCCAAGTGTATATTCTGTGAGCTGCATCTGTTGGGAATAAGAGTGAGCCCATTCTCACATTTTTGTGAATCCGCTTTCCCCCATGAACACACGGAAATGGTTCTGCAAAGCTGCCTTTCTCTGGAAGAGCATTTTGCTTTTGTTAATGAGGCAGAAAATCAATCTCAGATTTTTGAGTAATCAGACCCGTCCTAGCACTTGTATTTTACAACCCTATATTGTTGAAATGATGGATGTGTTCCTAAAAAGCTGTGCATCAACTTAATTTTTAAACTTTTAATTGAATTTTAGATTAGTGGCAACCCCTATTTAAAGAAGTCCTCTGGGCCAGGTGTGGTGGCTCACGCCTGTAATCCCAACACTTCAAGAGGCAGAGGTGGGTGGATCACTTCAGGTTAGGAGTTCTAGACCAGACTGGCTAACATGGCGAAACCCCGTTTCTACTAAAAAATATACAAAAATTAGCTGGGCATGGTGGTGCTCATCTGTAATCATGGCTACTTGGAAGGCTGAGGTTCGAGAATCCCTTGAACCCAGGAGGTGGAGGTTGCAGTGAGCCAAGATCACACCACTGCACTCCAGCCTGGGCAACAGAATGAGATTCTGTCTCAAAACAAAAAACAAAAAAACCACAACCCTATAATAAATTCTTTGTAACATGAACAGATCCTCCTGATATTTTTCATGGGACTGGACCTTTCCTAAGGGATTTTCTTAAATAGAATTATTTCAGATCATCAATTACTTACATATGTAGCTGTATTAGGTCACAAGACTAAGATTGTGTATTTATGATTATAAAACTTATACTTAATGAATCCCAAACTGATCTCGAGACTATATTACTATATTAACATGACATATTTATGTTTTACACTGTTATCTAATATAAAAAGTAGAGTTTATTTTTATATACATTTATTTTTTTGAGACAAGGTCTTGCTCTGTCACCCAAGCTGGAGGGCAGTGGCGCGATCTTGGCTCACTGCAACCTCCACCTCCTGGGTTCAACCAATTCTTGAGCCTCAGCGTCCGGAGGAACTGGGATACACAGGTGAGCACCAACACGCCCAGCTAATTTTTTTGTATTTTTAGTAGAGGTAAAAAGAAAATATTTTATAAGAATATATCTGTGTAAAGTAGAATATATCCAAAAACATACAAAAGTAGAAAGGAGAAAAAAAATTCTTTGATTTATTTTTTCCTAGGCATTTTAAATTTGGATTCTAAAAATTATCTTAGAAAAATCATGAACGCTCTTTTATAAAATAACCCGGTGAAGCAGCCAAGCCCGAGCCGCCGGCCTGCGACCCCGCAGCAGTTCCAACAAGGAACCAAGAGACCGAAGCCTTCCCGCAGCCCGCAACGACACCTCCACCCTCGCTCCCCGCCGGCAGCCAGCGGCAACGGATCCACAGGGTTCCGCGGCCGTTGAGTAGTTTTCGATTCCGCATGCTTTTTGTCCCTCTGCGCTTGCCCCCGTTCCCCTCCCCCTCTCCGGCCTCCGGCCCGGCACTCGCCCTCCACCTCTCACGGAAAGGTCGCGGCCTGAGGCCCGGCGGGCAGCGGTGCCGCGATGAACCCCAGCACCCCCAGCTACCCCATGACCTCGCTCTACGTGGGGGACCTCCACCCCGACGTGACCGAGGCGATGCTCTACGAGAAGTTCAGCCCGGCGGGGCCCATCCTCTCCATCCGGGTCTGCAGGGACGTGCTCACCCGCCGCTCCTCCGGCTACGCCTACGTGAACTTCCAGCACCCGAAGGACGCGGAGCGTGCTCTGGACACCATGAATTTTGATGTGATAAAGGGCAAGTCGGTACGCATCATGTGGTCTCAGCGTGATCCATCACTTCGCAGAAGTGGAGTGGGCAACATATTCGTTAAAAATCTGGACAGATCCATCGGTAACAAAGCACTGTACGATACCGTGTCTGCTTTTGGCAACATCCTCTCGTGTAAGGTGGTCTGTGATGAAAATGGTTCCAAGGGCTATGGATTTGTGCACTTTGAGACACAGGAAGCAGCTGAAAGAGCTATTGAAAAAATGAATGGAATGCTCCTAAACGATCGCAAAGTATTTGTTGGGCGATTTAAGTCTCGTAAAGAACGAGAAGCTGAACTTGGAGCTAGGGCAAAAGAGTTCACCAATGTTTACGTCAAGAATTTTGGAGAAGACATGGATGATGAGCACCTTAAGGATCTCTTTGGCAAGTTCGGGCCCGCCTTAAGTGTGAAAGTAATGAAAGACGAAAGTGGAAAATCCAAAGGATTTGGATTTGTAAGCTTTGAAAGGCGTGAAGATGCACAGAAAGCTGTGGATGAGATGAATGGAAAGGAGCTCGGTGGAAAACAAATTTACGTTGGTCGAGCTCAGAAAAAAGTGGAACGGCAGACGGAACTTAAGCGCAAATTTGAACAGATGAAGCAAGATAGGATCAGCAGATACCAGGGTGTTAATCTTTATGTGAAAAATCTTGATGATGATATTGATGATGAACGTCTCCGGAAAGAGTTTTCTCCATTCGGTACAATCACTAGTGCAAAGGTTATGATGGGGGGTGGTCGCAGCAAAGGGTTTGGTTTCGTGTGTTTCTCCTCCCCAGAAGAAGCCACTAAAGCAGTTACAGAAATGAATGGTAGAATTGTGGCCACAAAACCATTGTATGTCGCTTTAGCTCAGCGCAAAGAAGAGCGCCAGGCTCACCTCACTAACGAGCATATGCAGCATATGCAGAGAACGGCAAGTGTACGAGCTGTGCCCAACCCGGTAAGCAACCCCTACCAGCCAGCACCTCCTTCAGGTTACTTCATGGCAGCTCTCCCACAGACTGAGAACCCTGCTGCATGCTCTCCTGCTAGCCAGATTGCTCAACGAAGACCAAGTCCTCGTTGGACTGCTCCGAATGTCAGACCTCATCCATTCCAAAATATGCCGGGTGCTATCCACCCAGCTGCTCCTAGACCACCATTTAGTACTATGAGGCCAGCTTCTTCACAGGTTTTACGAGTCATGTCAACACAGCATGTTGCTAACACAGCACAGATAATAGGTCCACGTCCTGCAGCTGCTGCAGCTGCAGCTACTCCTGCTGTCCGCACCGTTCTGCGGTTTAAATATGCTGCGGGAGTTCGTAATCCTCAGCAACATCTTCATACACAGCCACAAGTTACAATGCAACAGCCTGCTATTCATGTACAAGGTCAGGAACCTTTGACTGCTTCCATGTTAGTATCTGCCGCTCCTCAACAGCAAAAGCAAATGTTGGGTGAACGGCTGTTTCCTCTGATTCAAGCCATGCACCCTACTCTTGCTGGTAAAATCACTGGCATGTTGTTGGAAATGGATAATTCAGAACTTCTTCATATGCTCGAGTCTCCAGAGTCACTCCGTTCTAAGGTTGACGAAGCTGTAGCTGTACTACAAGCCCACCAAGCTACAGAGGCTGCCCAGAAAGCAGATAGCAGCGCCACTGGTGTTCCAACTGTTTAAAATCAATCAGGGACCATGAAAAGAAACTTGTGCTTCACCGAAGAAAAATATCTAAACATTGAGAAACTTAAATACTATGGAAAAAATTGCAAAAATTAAAATAAAAAAGGAAAGGAAACTTCGAACCTCACGTATGTACTGACCAAATGCCAGGTCTAGCAGACATAATGCTAGTCCTAGATTACGAATCAATTTAAAAACAAGAAAACCCCACAAAAGTAGTAAAATATAAAAACAAATTAATGTTTCATAGACCCTGGGGAAAAGAATTTTCAGCAAAGCACAAAAATGTAAAGCATTCCTTTCTTTAATTTTGTAATTCTTTACTGTGGAATAGCTCAAAATGTCAGTTCTAAGTAACAGAATTTGTAACTGAGCAAGGAAATGTGATTTGGATTATAAAATTCTTGCTTGAATAAAAATTCCTTAAATGGTGAAAAAAAGAAAAATCATTAATTTTACTAATAATCTTTCTTTACATTTTCTATAATTGTATTTCCCACTATATTTCAAATATAAAAATCACCTTTTTCACCAAAATTTTAGGTCTTTATATAATAGTGTTTATTTTTAGTATTCATAAATGAGGAAAATATGCAATGACAAAATAGTAATTATAAATTCAGTAATATTTGTTCAAAATTGTAAGACAATTATTAATTTATATTGCATTATTTTAAAATCAAAAATACATAGTTTTAAAAATCTAATTGAATAGGTTCTGATCACAGAGATAATCACTTTGAATCATTTGGTTTTAGTGTTTCTGATAGTTTATTTTCTTCAATAATAATGTACATAGTTATCTCTTGGTTTATCAATCTTGTAATTTAACTATAGACTTCCTGCTGTGATAAATAAGGGTATGTTTCATTTACCCCTTTCCACCATTCCTCCTCCTCCTCCCAGTATAATTTATCACTATTTGTAGTTCCTTTATTGGTAATATTAATTAACATAAACATTTACTTTATAATTAATGTTACACCTGGTGGATTGTATCAAAGGACAGCCCATTTGAGCATTCTCCTTTAAGATGAGTAAAGGCTGTGACATTGTACTACATAGAGAGAAATAGAGTTATAACCATACCATATTACTTTGCAATGAACTATATATATGCAGAGAGATGGTCACTATATATATAATGCTTGGATATAGCTATACACACACAAACATAGGTAGCGTGTGTGTGCATATATATATATTTTATATATATATATATACACACATACATACATAAGATACACATACATATATGTATTAATAATATACATATTATTTATTCATCCCAATTTGGGGGGCCTGTAGGTAAATTATGGAGAACTTCATTACGGTTACAGTTAAAGTTAAGCTTAAATGATTTTCGTAACATATGCAATCAGAATGTTTATATTTGAAAAAACACAAAAAAGGTTTGGGGTCTATTATCCACTCAGTGACAATGTCAGATATACATGGTACATCCAGCGGGGCTTCAGTCCTCAGATGTTGCCAGTTTCCAGGTTGTTAAATACAAGTTGCTGAAGGTCTTGTCATAAGTATCCCAATAGTTTAAATAGTTTCTTCTTATTATTTGTTTTATTTATTTATTTATTTATTTAGAGACACCTCACTCTGTCACCCGCACTGGAGTGCATTGGTGCGATCTTGGCTCACTGCAATCTCTGCCTCCTGGGCTCAAAAAATTCTCCCACCTCAGCCTCCCAAATAGCTGGAACTACAGGTGCACATCACCATACTAGGCTATTTTTTTTTTTTTTAATTTTTCATAGAGACAGGTTTTCACCATGTTGCCCAGGCTGGTTTCGAACTCCTGATCTCGAGGGATCCGCCCACCTCTGCCTTCCAAAGTGCTGGGATTATAGGTGTGAGCCACCATGCCTGGCCTTCTTTTTTAGGATGGGTTATTCATGGTTTAGCAGTCCTACAATTTATTGACTTCTGGCCAAATGAGATTATAAGCTTCCTAAATACAGAAATGGGGTTTGCATAGCAGACAATTAAATGCTTGTTGATTGGTCAACATCATATGTCCTGAGGATTTTCATATACTTAAGTGCTTAAATTCTCATAACACTTCTCAGAATAGCGAGGGAATATTGGTGTGAGTGTGCAGTGCTATTCTTGATGATGTGGGATAAACAGAAAGAAATGATCTCCAGTCCACACTATTGAGAAGAGCCCCCTATACTGAGGGGCACACATGTCCACAAATAGCTCCCGGCCATATGGAGGAGTGAACAGTATAGAGGGAAGCACAATGTACCACAGCAAAGAGATCTGGGAGGACCTTGTGCATAAGACGGCTTGTAAGCCAAGCCTTCAAAGATGAGTAGGGTTTTGATGGATAGTCAAGAAGACAAGTCTGAGGCCAAGGAAATTTGACCAAAGGCAGATGTTTCATCAAATTTGACAAGGCATTCCATGGAGTAGCGTTGTCTCTGAGAAGCAGGTGCTTGTTCAGAGACTGTGTGTCCCAGCTCCTTTCTGCATCAGGACAGGGCATGTCACTAGCCCTTACCCAGGAAACGTGAGTGGGAGTGATGCATGTCTTTCAAGGCAAAGCAGTTAAGATAACTGATGGACTTTCCAATGTCACTTTCCCCATCCGCTGGGTGAAGAACATTGCAACTCATTGAGAGAGGAGCCACAGGACAGAGGGAGAGAGTGAGTGTGTGTGTGTGCGTGCGTGTCTGTGTGTATAGAAAGAGAGAGAGAGAGAAAGACAGGGAGAGAGAGAGTCTTGCTTTTTCTCCCATGTTGGAGTACAGAGGTGGGATCATAGCTCACTATAATCTCAAACTCCTAGGCTCAAGCGGTCTTCCCACCTCAGCTGCCCAACGGTAGCTAGGACTACAAGCACACACCACCATGCCTGGCTAATTTATTTTATTTATTTAGTTTGTAGAGGCAGGGGCCTTGCCATATTTCCCAGGCTGTTCTTGAACTCCTGGCCTTAAGCAATCCTCCTGCCTTAAGCCTCCCAAAGTACTACGATTATAGGTATGAGTCACTGCACGCAGCCTAGATATATTTTATTCTACATAAAATTACAATGTTTTATATAAAATGTGTACATTACTGATTTGACTTGAATATTATTACTGTCAATTATTCAAACTTGAATTAAGTCCAACTGCCTGATCAGTGATACATTAAAATATCACCATAGGTACTTATCCAACAATCTCAACTCTTAGTCCCTTCAGACTGCTACAACAAAAACTGGTGGCTCGTAAACAACAGAAATGTATTTCTCATTGTTCTGAACACTGGGAAGTTCAAGATCAAGGTGCCACAGATTTAGCATCCGGTGTCTGGTAAGGGTCTGATTTTTGGTTCATAAAGTCGGTCTTTTCACTGTATCCGCACATAGGGGAAGGAGTCAACTCTATGGGGCCTCTTCTATAAGCATATTAATCTTTTCCCCAAGGGTTTCACTCTCATGACCTGATCACTACCCAAAGACCCCACCTCCTATCATCGTAGTGGGGGTTAGGACTCAACGTAGGAGCTTCTAGGGGACGTAAACATTCAGTCTACTGCATCAACTACCTATCATAAGGTAATGATAGGTAATTCAGTCTACTGCATCAACTACCTATCATAATGGAAAACATATCATAAGCAAACAGGGCCTTTAGCCAGCTGTAATTAGTAATACAAAGAGCACACATTTTCTTCTTCCTTGAACATCCAATATGCCCTCACTCAGAAACTAGCTACTCTTATTTTATATAAATTGATATAAATTTAAATGTGTAGACATATATGTAAATATATAAAAATCTAACAAGGTTAATTATTTCCTTCTTATTAGAAAATCAAATTGAGAGAGAGAGAAAGAACAGAAATAAATACACTAAAAGCAGGAAGAAGTAATACTTGGTACTCAAATAGCAAGAAACAGGAAAAAAGCAACATAAATACTCAACAAAAATAGCATCAGCAGGCCAGGTGAGGTGGCTCACACCAGTAATCTTAGCACTTTGAGAGGTCGAGGCGGGCAGATCCCTTGAG